CTGGTCTGGTCTGTTTAAGTCCGGTTTGATCTGATTTGGTCTAGTCTAGGACTGGAAGTAGTCCAAAAGGAAACATCCAAACAGTGAACAAGAGCTTAGAGAAGTCTGTAATTTGGAATATATGGTGAACTTATTAATTGGAATAATAAAAAGAAAGGACTTAATGGAATTAATCTAATCCCGATGACCCTTATATAGCTATTACAAAAGTATCGATTATAAAAAGAAATAAATGCTAATTAAGAAGTTGTCTAAAACATAATAGGAATAGTTATAAAAGGCGATAAATGCTAATTAGGAAGTTGCCTAAAGTTGCATGGTTGTAGAGTTCTTTCTCAGCCACTTCGGGTTCCAGATTCATCCTTCCTGATCATCCGGCTTCTACGTTGATATTTAGTAAAGAATTGGGCTCCTTAAAGTTCATCTAGCAGCTCATCAATTACCGGGATTGGATATTAATCCTTTACAGTCTTGGAATGCAGTTCCCTATAATCAACATAGAATCTCCAAGCATCCTTTGGTTTTTCGACTAATAATACAGGCGATGAAAAAGGAGAATAACTTGTTTGTATGATACCTTGTGCAAGTATCTTTAAACACTGTCGTTGGATCTCATCCTTTTGAAAGTATGGGTAGCGCCGTAGCGGTAAGGATGAACAACTATTGCGCCTGTTCCTGGGAGGAGGGAAATCCGGTGATCACAAGGGCGGGAAGGTGGCGATGCCTGTTGGTTGGCAGAACAGATCCTGGAAGGGCAGGATATGGGCATGAGGAGGTGCAGTTGCAATCTGTCTGTGCCATTCCACCTTCGTATTCTACCATATGTGAACTGCATAGAAAGACTGGAAAATCCCATACAATAGATCAGAGGCCTCAAACCCATTCAACTCCCAATATCATGTCAAATCTGGCTAAGGACAGTATATAAAAGTCTGCCATATATGTGCATCCATCTACAATGAATTCCGGCCGAGGACACGTTCCCAATATACGTACCCGATCATCTTCAAGAATTTCAGTGAAAAACATATGTTTGCATTTATGGCCACGAAGCCATAAACAACATGAAGTGAGAGGGGGGACTCCAGGTCATCTTCCAGCCGTGAATATTTGGACCTACACTTGTATAGAAATCCCCACGGTTCGAGCCAATTATTGTTGAAAATTCTTGATGTAGAACTCCAGATCACGAGTTTGATGAAGTTGGGCAAGATCACTTTTTGGAATAAAACTATGGGATGGGCCAAAACATTTCATGCATCAAGTGTAGAAGTCTGTCCAGGTGATCTTTGTAATTCCTGTCTCGAGTTGATCAGCCCATAGTTGGGCAGTGCCTATCACGTGGAATGTTGCCAATCCCACTCGAGCTTGGGCCGGTGTCCGTTGTTGAATAAAGAAGCTCCCACAATGTTTCATCCATGACAAGGGATCACTTTTACTGTCAAATTGAGGGAATTCCAATTTGGACTAGCGGGGAACTAAGGAATCGTTAGTTTCACGCCAATGAGGTTCCGTATCGTGTTGTTGTTCATACCGTGGATTGCTGGAGGAAGAGTCGCCCATCAATCTTTGCAGGTTTGCATATAGCGTGATTACCATGGTAGGGAGGTTGGCGAGCTTAGCCATAGAATCCTGACGTCTGCCAATTGATGTGCAACTCCTATGATCGCTGTTTTCGATCATGTCTTTGAGTGAGCCAGTGTCAACTGTGTCATTCGCCACTGTCCCGAATGCTGATACCAAGCTGTTAAGAATAGACGTTCAAGACTTTGTCAATGGACAAGAACGAGAGAATGGCAGTGAACGAGAGCTTAGAGAAGTTGTAATTGGGAATCTATGGTGAACTTATTAATGGGAAGAATTAAAAGAAAGGGCTTAATGGAATCAATCTTATCTTGGAAGTATTCTAGAGATTCAAAAATTTATTCTCCAAAATTATTGAATAATAATACTAATGACCCTTATATGGCTATTATGAGAGTCCACATTATAAAAAAAAGAAATAAATGCTAATTAAGAAGTTGCCTAAAGCATAATAGGAATAATTATAAAAAGAGATGAATGCTAATTAGGAAGCTGCCTAAAGCTTCCTGGTTCTATAGTTCTTTCTCAGCCACTTTGGTTTCCCAATTCATCCTTCCTGATCATCCAGCTTCTATGTTGATATTTACGATAATAGAATTAGTCTGTAACATATTACTCCCTCCATCCCAGCTCAAGTTTCTTACTTGACTCTTTTGGATGTCCGAGTTGATGGTTCTCATTTCTATTTTAGGAAATAATTACCACTCTTAAATGACAATTTAATCATAAAAAACACCTATAACATCAAAGTTATCACCAATGATTCTCATTATATTATATTCCCATCAAAACTACTTTCGGAATATACTCTATAAGTTATTTATTATTGCCTAGCAAGTTGAGAAATACTTCGTATCTGGCTTTGTTGATATGAATTTTTTTATTCTTTAAATAATCTGAAAGATAACCCTTCTCACAGCATCAGATGGGCTAGGGCCCGATAGCCTATATGGCTATACAAACATTATTAATGAAAATTTGAATATTACAACCATGAATGTGGGTGAACTTCTCAAATATGAGGAAAAATTACATGCCTTGGAAAGAGGGAGGTAATTAAATGTACACTTCAGAGGATGAAAGATCTAAACTTTACGCGATGTTTGAATCTTGGTATATTCAAGGGATAGGAAAGCAAATGCTAAGAAATGCCATTTTCTTATCTTTGGATATACCACGGACAATACACAGAAAAATGATGTGTGATGGATGTTTTTATGTTTTTTTACTATGTTCAGTTCTGCTTATTGATTGTAAGAGAGAAATAAATAAATAAATAAATAAATAAATAAACATGAGTTTCAACAAATGTTTGAAAAAATACTGTTTAAACCATGTCATATTTTCCTCAACAATTTCTTTCCTTCCAAATTCCTCATATATTTTTGTACCTATATATTCCCCAAGCATCTCTGCATTACAGATGGGCACTTATTGGCAACAGAATTAATGACAGTGTTACCTGCCCAATATATATTAGAGACCTGGCTTTCATAGAGGTGCAATGGACAGAATGGTCCAAGAGGTCCTATAATCTCTCAGCAACATTCAAAATATTGTCGATATAATTAAGAAATAATTTAGAATCATTTTAAACATAAAGACTAGAGTAGCTGCCATTTGACACCATCCAAAACTCCCAAGAGAAAGAAATAGCACAGGAGGCCAAGTTTTTAAAGAGATTCAGGAGATGAGAGGTTTCCTCCAAAAAGCCGCCAAAGAAAGATCTAAATCTGAACAGATATATTAGAATTTCAGAATACTTGGAAGAAAGACAGCTTGTTGCAACTGGCCACATATAGCCTCATGCAGTTTTGATAGTAAGCAGTTCCAAACATGAGGAATTCCACACATATTGAAGATGGCTAAGCTGCAGGATGCAATATTTGTCTCATTATATAATCCAAGAACACGCTTCTATACTTGAAATGAAGAGGATTTAATTGAGAAGATCACCAATGCAGTTTCTTAGCCTCATGATATATACAAATAAGGAATCTGAAGTTCAACCAAATCTGATAAAAATATGCTTTATGCCTCTATGGACAAATAAGAATATCCTTCTACAGGCTACTTTTCTCCATTTTCGAGTCTTCCATGTGGAGGCTGAGCTGGTTCTGCGATTCAAGTGCCTGGAGCTACTCCAGAAATCTGCCCCATGGATAGCTACTTATAATTGCCAAATTCTTAGTCTTTAGGATAGAACAACACAATACATATACATATACTAATGCTTAGGCCGGGCTCGCACTCCCATATCAATTTCAAAGACCAATTTAAGAAGCTGTTCTCTTCACCTGATCTGAATGTTTCTGATCTGAATCTTTTAAGTTCTGATCTGATCTGATCTGAATTTTTCTGATCTGATCTGAATCTTTCTGATCTGATCTGAATGTTCCTGATCTGATCTGAATATTTCTGATCTGATCTGAATGATTCTGATCTGATTTGAATCTTTCTGATCTGATCGGATCTGAATTTTTCTGATCTGATCTGATCTGATCTGATCTGATCTGAATAAAATAAGAATAAGCAATAAGTAATAAGATTAAGACGAACATAACAGCTTCTAAGTGTATTAGAGGTCCACAGTAATTCTGTACATTCCAAAATATGGAGCCACTTGCAACTGAGACATGGCATATTTTGACCGTACCATGTGACATGTTTTCCATCGGTTGCAATAGAGCCAAAGACTCACTATTTTTTGGCTTGGGAATATGATAGAATATGATGGAATAAACGCTTCTTTGTTATGAAGCAACAGTCAGTCCATGCAATTTCCTACACATTTTCACCAAGGGTCATCCGGAAACAGTATGTTTGTACTTTATTACAGGGGTAAGACCGTGTACATCCGCCCCCTTACTCCACCGTAGGTGGGAGCCTTTGCGTCACTGGGGTGATGATGTTGATGATGATGACCATGTGACATATGTGTTTTTTGTTCCTCTTGCAGAATGTTTTGTCCACTCAAGTTTTATAACTTGTTTTGTTTTTGTTTATTCTGGCAGTTTGATATCATTTATTTGATATTTCCAATTGCTAAGCATTTGTTAAAAGCCATGCCACTTGGAGTCTTGTCCTAGCTCTCTAGAACCCAACCATCAATCGTATGCAGATATGCATTTGGTTCGGAGGTTTCTCATCTCAATTTAAACTGGGATTTCAGGTTGTTGAATGCTAGGGAAATTATTATGAAAAATGAAAATTGTCAGACAGCAACAAGATGTGGCCTCTACACGATAAATAAAGTCATGAAATTTGTCTTCGTATATATGAATTATTGCTACCTAATTCAACTTTTTCCCTCCATGCTGCCATTTAAACTGCATTGGTAATTTTCATGAATCCAAAATCTTTTATTTCTATAGCAAAGGTTAATCACTTAGTCACACAAAGTTTTAAATATTCAGGTGGGTTGGGATGAGTCAACTGCAGGTGAAAGGCAACCAAGAGTGTCATTATGGGAGATTGAGCCCTTAACTACTTTTCCCATGTACCCATCGTTATTTTCCCTTAGGCAAAAACGGCCCTGGTATCCGGGAGTCTCCTCTTATCCAGGTACATTATTTTACCAAAGGTTTGTGAATACCTATAACCCTTCTTGACAAGATGAATGAGTGAATCATAATTTCTTTATAGTTTACATTATTATAAAGGCTTAGATATGTTTTGTTTTAGATCACTGCAATTTTATTTGTTTTTCATTCCTGTAAATTACACAGTTTCCGATATAGTCCCCTGCCGACTCAAGATAGATTAGTAGATTAGTGGTTTCCTTTTCATCGATGAGCTTTGAGCATCCAGGATTTCTAAATGTCCTTTTCACGTTTTTTAAATAAATAAGTTTTATTTCCTTGAGACATTGAGAATTTGTGAGCTATATTAAAAATGTGAATGATTAGTTTCACTATTAGTATTAGTTTCCAAAAAGTAATGTGAAAAGTTTAGAGTGGAGTTGTGCAACCAACATGGTGTTTTCCCAAATGGAGGTTGACTCGGGCTTAGAGGACTAAAAAGAAAACAGAACATATTGGAGGGATGATTTTTTTTTTTTTGCAAATAAAACATATTTAATACTAACATAAAATATTATGTATCTTTTAAATGTGGCCATTCCTCTGATAAAAGAAGAATATGTTCTAATTTAAAGCAAACCTGTTACTTGATGAGGCCGTTGGTCAAACTTTTTGTTTCTAAATTGCTCTTTACTTGGGCGAAATCTTGATGTCATTGCAGATGGCAATAATGACGCGAATAATGGAATGACATGGCTGAGAGGAGGGGGAACTGGTGGTGAGACAGGACACCGGGCTTTTAACCTTCAGTCTGCTGGTATGCTTCCTTGGATGCCACAGAGAGTTGATCCGACGATGCTCCAGAATGATATTAATCAGCAGTATCAAGCTATACTAGCTGCAGGATTGCAAAACCTTGGGAGTGAAGATTTGCTGAAACACCAACTTATGCAATTTCAGCAGCAGCAATTGATCCAACAATGTCTGCTGTCCTCTCAAATGAGAATGGCATCAGATGGCCTACAACAAAGGCAACCACAACAACAGACCAGTAATCAGACGGAGCAGCTTGCGTACCCGGAAGATTTCCCTAACAGGACTGACCATCACCTTCAACAGAGACCATTTTCAAATTTTGTTCCACCAGTACAATCACCTTCAAGACAGATTAACACTTCTCCATCATTCTCTAGACAAGATCATGTAGAAAGTAACTCAAGATTTGTGCCATCAGGTTCTTTATTCCCTGAAGGGAGTGATAATCTTTCAAGTCTCACCAGAACTGGCCAGACTATGGTTAATCAACAGCCACCTGAGAGATCCTGGATGCTCAAAGCTCATGGACAGGATATGACTGTTCAGCAAGAGAGCGATGGTTTTGATGCCAGGAATCAAGTTACTTTTGGTGGTGCTAATGGTGTAGACTCTCTTGGTCTTTTCCTCCCCACCACTTTGTCAAGTACTACTATTGCTTCAGTTGATGATGGAGATGGAGATGCTGACATGTCCTCGGGGACATTAGGGGCTTCTGGCTTTCAGAGTTCTCTATATGAGTACATGCAAGACTCATCCGAGATGATGCAGAGTGGGGGACAAGTTGACCCACCAACCCCAACTAGTGCATTTGTAAAGGTGAGTGCGCTCATCATCTTTCTTATGGGGTGCTGTTATTTTGTTTTGTTACCACTTTAAAAAATCGAGTTATGTATACTTTTAGGTTTACAAATCGGGATCTGTTGGGAGGTCATTGGACATGACCCGGTTCAACAGCTATCAAGAACTAAGACAAGAACTGGGTCAGATGTATGGAATTGAAGGGTTGCTTGACAACCCTCAAAGATCAGGCTGGCAGCTTGTATTCGTCGACAGGGAGAATGATATACTTCTTCTTGGAGATGACCCATGGGAGTAAGTATTTAATGGACAATTTATACCAGTTTTGCTCATCATTCGACTCTAAAGCATGTTTGGCTATTAAATAGTTCCACACTAAAGGGCAGCCCTGTGCATATTGGCGTCCCCGCAAGGCGAGGGTCCGGGGAAGGGTCCCACCACAAGGGTGTATAAGGGGCATGCCTTCCTTTGTCATTTTTTATAAGAGGCTGCTCTCAAAACTTGAACCGTGACCTCTCAGTCACATAGCAACACCGTAACTGGTGCGCCAAGGCTTCCTTTCTACTCCGTATTAAATTGTTCCACACTGATCAAATTTAAAGATGTGAACTTGCTTACAAAAACCTTGATATGCTTTTCCCATCAAGTTGTCATTTAAAATGGAACTCGTGTTTTTAATATGATAAAAGCCAATTGAGCTCAAACACAGTTTATTTGACTACGACCTAAAGGTACATTGGTTTGCTTCCATAAGTCACCATTTTGTGGGTGCGTGTTACATCATTTCATACCCCCACAAATATAAAAATACAACTCATACATAAACTTTTAAACTACTGTTCCTCAAGCCTTGATAAGCTGGTACCTAAGCTGTGTTGCTGCATTTTTCAGTGCTTTCGTGAATAATGTCTGGTACATCAAAATCCTTTCTCCTGAAGATGTGAAAACAATGGGAAAGCAAGAGTGCGAGTCCCTTGGTCACAATATGGGGGAAAGAATGAATGCCAACAGTGCTGACGGTGGACGAGACTTTCTCTCTGGACTTCCATCTCTAGGATCACTTGAGTACTGATTTGTGCAGCATATGGATGGAATCTTCTAAGGATTTGTGTGTGAGCTCCAAAATTCTCCAAGACATCTCAGATTTTCCCTGCGTTATATAGACGCCTTTAGCATTGTTCTGCTAAGTCTCCCATTGTATTATGTAGTGTTTCTTTTGAAACGTGATGGCAGTTAAGAAGCTAAAATCTCTATTCCTGAGTTGAAGTCTTTGTTGAAGTCTTGGTGTTGTGTTTAAAAAATCTTATATTCATGGTGGATTGCTTATGTAGTGATGGTTGCAGTTATTTTATTATAATTAGTACTCCCTCTGTCCCCGAAAGAAGTTCCACATTTGACTTTCACACACTTTTATGCAAGTAAATTTTACTGTTTTGACATTGTTTCGACATTGTTTGACACTGTTTTGCACTGTTTGACACTGTTTTGATGTAGATAACTTTCCATTTAAGGAAATGAGAACTTAAATTAGGGACATCCAAATAAGGAAAGGGGGAATTTCTATTCTTTCGGGCATCCCCGTCCATAGATTATTTTTTAGATCATTTTGAATGATCTAAAAAGTGACAACTCGCTTAGCTAAACTCTATAATCGATAATAACATCGTTGGCAATACCAATTTTATGCTCTACCGCAACTGTTGATATTGACGCGGATAGGATTTTTTTCGCAATTGTTGCTAATAGGGGTGAGAACTAGTCCAAGACCGGATTGGAACCAGTTTGGATGAAACCGAATAACCAAAGTAATTGGACCCAAGACCGGACAAGAATAATTCAGATCCAAGATCTGAGCGGATTATTCTGGTTTTGACCGAACCGGATCGTTTGGACCAGAATTTTACTCTCATTTTTTTTATAGATATTCCATCTTTTTTTTAAAATACTTCCGATTATTTAAAAATTACTTTATTAGCTTGAAATTTCTATTATACTTTAAGTTGTTATATTTATAATCATTTCTCATTTTAATATTTCAATATTTCATACTAGAACGAAAAAATCTCCTAATATGATCGATCATTTTAATACAAGAAACTAATATTAGTTTCTCGATTAGTTCAATGAATAATTTAACCCATTAACTTTATAAATTTAATCAAAAATAGCTCAATTAATCATGTGTATATTATCATCAAAACAAACTAAACTAAGTCAATAAAAAAGTATTTACCAAGATTTTAATGTTTTTGGGTTATAAAAATCTCATTAATCTAATATGTAAGTTATGTGCAAATGTAGTTAAATTAATGCCTTAAACATTTTATCACTTAATGTGTTGATGGAGTTTAATCCAACTACGAGAGCTAATTCACGAAAACGTATGAACAAATATGGGCAGCGTAAGGCGGTAATTCTTATTAATCGTGGATCCGATCCCCCTCTGGGAAATATACATGAAGAAACTATATGAGCTAGTATTTCAGGAAGAAACTGATACAATATATGCTATTAATTATATCCTTAATCGAATAAGTCTCCTATAACGTCTGGGACGTTGTGCAATGATTATCTCCTTTAAGTCCATGTTCCTTTGTTGAATCCCGCCTGCTGCCAAATAGCTATGCTCGAATGATAGCCTGCCACATACGATCTAGGAATATCTCAGCCTCACTAGAACTCCGCCCAGGCTCGAGGTCTGTTGTCCAGCCCGGCCTGGTTGTGGGTTCCTATCGTGGGCTCGATTCCTTTTTAGGCCCAGCGGTTTATTATCTTAATCCCTTTTTAGGGCTTGATCCCGTTCATGGGTTAATCATGTTAATTAGGCTAATCCCGTTATGGGCTAATCCTGTTAATAGGCTAATCTCGTTAAGGGTTGATCCCGTTTATGGGCCGGATTATGTAATTGGGCCATGGTTTGAGTCTATGGTACCATCATGTATGTAGTTTTTTTTGGAAGGTGGCTTATATTAATAAGAGAGAAAATAAACTGGATACAACTAGACAAAGAGCTCACCGTCTAACGTCCGTCCTTGAACCAGACTTAGAACTTGCCACCTCTAATGAATCAACCAGTTTCGCTGATCCTGAATTGGGCTTACCTGAGCCAATGACTAGCAAGCTTAGCTCCCCATCACCTGACTTATGTTCTAGAGTTTTAAAATGAATAAAAGCTAAAGCAAACAAAAACACATGATGTCCGAAACCAAAATCCACGTGAAGGAAAACAAGTCTAAAATTAAAGATAACTTCAATCTTCAAGGAGATCTAGACCTTCATGAGTTTTGGCGGGCTTCGGAGTTCCAGCCCGCCTCTTCCCTGTTTCTTATTCATCGAGAGTCGTGGCCTCCTCCTCTGAATGCTAATTTTCCTTGGCGAGACCGAGATTAGAATGGGGTAATGTCTAGTAAAATCTGAAAATTGAAAAATTATTATAGCTAGACCTCTTATCTTGCGAAAAAGGGAATGTGAGCCCCAGTCAAAAAGCGTAAGATGAGACTTGGGTATCTTTCGAAAGAAATGACGTTCTAGTGACAATGAAAACTGAACCTAATTAAATGAACTTGGAGGCTATTGAAAAATTAGCTTTAGTCCTTCGCGTACTTCAAGTGTACGTCAAAGCACCAATGTGGCGTGACGGTTTAGCTTAGTTGTACACCATGTCTACTCTTTGCATAGGTTTAAATGATTGTTCCTATTTTGTGGCCTACTAAATTCTTTAATCCTAAGAATAGCCCCAAAATTCCTGAATGCATTGAGTCTTTGTTAGAATGTTCCAATCTCTCAAGAAAGGGACTGTTATTGTTTATCCATTGACCATTCACCACCGCCTTCACAAGTCCTTTTGATCGGTAGCTAGTTTAATTGTGTATGCTGTCATTACTTTGAGGATGTTGTGAATAATTTTTTCAAATATTTTGCTAGACTACAAAGATGTAGTTTAGGGAAGAATTTTCTTGGTTTAGTTTGTCTGTTATGTGAATATCCCTTTAACTACGTGTGAATTCTAATTATTTTAATTCCATGTGGTGATTATCGTAAGTCCCGTTGTTCAGTTTGCTTGAGGACAAACAAAGGCTTAAATGTGGGGGAAAACTGATAAGTCCGTATTTAGACACACATTTGATGCGTGTTGGGACCGTCTTTTGATGGTTTTCCTAGCTTTCAGGTGTTACAATTCTCAATTTTAGCTCAAGTTATGTTTACCAGGCGTTGGTTCGAGTTTTGTGTCATTTGGAGTCAAAATCGGGATTTTAGAGTTCGGCACCGGCGTTTGAGGAGAAATCAGGATGAGTTGATAAGCATTCGAGAGTGATTTGAGAACTTTGGAAGTCACCGGGAGGTTTACGATGAAGATTTGATGGCAAAAGAGCTCTAGAATTGACTACGGGATCAAAAGAAGACGTATAGAGCTTGAAAACAATGATCAAGATGACCTTCTGTCAATCGTTCAATTATATATCTCTGTAGAAACATCCCATGAACATTATTCAAGTTCCATATGAAATCCAACTTCAAGGGCTACAAATCATATGAAGACACCATTGCGAGAATCTGAGAGGAGCAAGGTGAAAACAGACGATGAAGTCAGATGATCTCTGTTGCGACTTCAGAATGCCACCTCACACCATTTTATTCATATCTCTTGATTGGATGATTCACATCCAATTAGGCAAGTTGTGGTGGATAGAGGACTTCATTATCTACAACTTTCATGAAGAAAGTTTTGTCAAATTCGGAGTAGAAAAAGCAAGGCACGGTCATGTTTGGGAGACAGGCACGTCGTGCCCGAAGAAGAAACTGGTACCAAGCTACTGGAGGCCAGGCACGACCGTGCCTTCCCAAAATGCGCGATTTTACTCCGGAGGCACGGTCGAAGGCACGGTCGTGCCTGGCACCGTGCCTGCCTCCGGAAATCGTGATTTGAGCCGAATTTTGACTGTTTTCTATAAATAAGGTCTCCATACTCATATTTAGGGGTTACAAACATTACGGAGAGGCCTAAGGACGAATTTACTTGCGCTTTTACGTTGTTTTCTTCAAGAACCCTGAAATTATTTGTAAGTTCATCTTTTTAATTAATGACAATTAATTCTATTCTTTCCAATTCTATTAATTCTTCAATTATGAATTGTGAGTAATTTAATTAGGGATTTGAGATTGATGAAGGGGTTGATCATGATGTATGGCTAGATTCTTGTTGGATTAATTGCATGAATGCCGTTTAATTTGTGTGTGAACAATTTAATTGATATCCCTTGTAACCTAGAACGCGCGCTAGAATTACAATTGCTTGTAGAATAAATTAAGAGAGATCTAGTTTATTCTAGGACACATTCACACACACTTAATCGTTCGCTAAGAGATTAGTAGCGATTAAGGGGCCGTAAGCTCGCTCGTCTTGGCAATAATTTAGGATCATGTCGCATGAGAGATCAGTCTAGTCCCCTAAATTATTGTACTCTACGTCGCGAGCGCGGTAAGAACTTAGTAATGATTAGCTAGACTCAATTAAATTAATTTAATGTAATTAGGCCTGATCTGCCAGAAATCTGGTTACCCCGGAATCAATCCATGTTCCCTTCGTCGTTAATTAAGAAGAAGCCACATTTATTTTATTCATTCGCATTATTTTATTTTTTTTCCCAACCAATCAATCTCGCACGACACATTTATTTTATTTATTTCTTTTTAATCGCTGAATTTAATTAATCTTTGATTCTCTTTTTCCATCCCTGTGGAGATGATACTCGTACTTACACCACTATATTACAATCTTTTTAAGTGCGAGAAAACTTACATAAAAAACCCTGCATACCTTCCTTATATTCAAACATCATTTGTAGGAATTGTAGGTGTGAAGTACACAAAAACCATGCAAATGTACCTTACACGAGAAAAATAACCTTCTACTCCCACACAATACAAATGTATAAGCAAACAATGGAATAGGATCTTCCCTCATTTGCAACTTACAACCAGTACACAAATGTTCACTAGGATCTTCCATAGTCAAACAAATTATGAAATCTCCCTCTTTCAATATGGAGGTCCCAGTAACATTCACTTCTTCAACATTTTTTTTTCCTTTAATTTCTGGCCTTTTTGTTTAATCTTCCTTTCATTCCTTGCCCTCAATCTGTGTAACTAACATAAAAATAAAATGCAGACTTTCAATTAGTAACATGTCAGTAGTCATTATAAAATTCAAATAGTATTGATGCACAAGATACCTCCAAACCACCCGCACTGATGGATTTTTGGCCCCTCCACTGGAGCAAACTATCATTATTTGTTAGTTTTGAGTGAAGTATGCTTGTAATCCACTGCCATCTACATATGTCTATTTTGGAGGTGCAAATGTAATGTTAGTTTCCTACCAAGAATATATATGGATTTAGTACTTTAAAAGCTAGTATTGAGTTACAAAGAAAACAATTACAATAACA